TTGCTTTTTAAAATTTTCTAAACAAACACTATTTCATAGAACAGCAAATTTCATGGGTATTCGGCTTATGTCATGTAAAACAAGAAAATGGAATTAAAATGTATTGATATTTCTTCGGGTTTCTAATGCTAACAGTCCAGACTATTTAAAAAGATATTTGTTCATTTGAAAGTGATGAGGTTCGGCACTACTATTTCATTGAACACAGCTGTATGTACTCATCTATATACTGCCAAATTGTATTAAAATCGAAAGCAAATTTTGATAGAATATTTTAAAGTTAAATAGCTAACTTTGAAAGTATATTATCCATAATATATATATATATCCATAATTCCACTTACATTGATATTTGTAGACAAGGATCCTCGCATAATTTCCGGCGTTTCAGCTTCAAATCCAATATCACCAAATCCATCGTCGTGCAGTGAGATTGACAGGCTACCGTAATCCTCCCTCATTGTAATCTCATCAGCTCTAGACTGATTTATGGAGAATTGAGCTTCAATGTCTATGTCATTTAACTCGGGCAAGGCAGTATCGAAGTCGTGAAAAACTTCAGGCAAAGTTATAGCGTTAACATTCGCTTCTCTGTGGCCTTCTGGTAAGTCGACCATGCCGGGTCTAAATGCCATCTATAAGTACCCAAGATTGAAACACACATAAATACATCTGAATGACAAATTTAAAATACTTTACCTTAATTTTAACAAATGCTTCATTGCAATCTGCCAACAAGTATTTAGCTTTTCTTGAGTAAATGCGCACAACACCCAGCAATAAATGGCCAGATGTTCTTAACGCCAATTTTACTTTTGGCTGTAAAATGCCTTCTACAGATTTTTCTATATTAGTTTCAAACACATGGGCTTTTGTAATTTTTTTATCCCAATGAGCTGCTAACCAAATCTTGGCCAGCGGACCTTTCTTGGCCAATATAATGTGTTCATAGAACATTTTACTCTTACAATGGCTACTGTTTTATTTATAAAAAATACATTCACATTAAGAATTCTTCTTTCTATCCACAAAACAGGGAAGCATTTGCAACAAACATACGATAGTGATGACAAAATATAATATGTGGTAATTAAAAATTACAATAGATTTGAAACGATGGAAAAAAACATACGTGATTTTATCATACTAACAGCCCATATGACATTGGTATTCGCTAACTGACTAACTGCAAACACAGAGGTAACCTTATGCCCTCTGCATACTGAGCCCATCCCGGGGGAAAAGTGGGAATTTTTGAAAGATGTGAAACACCGATTCACATTGACTCCATCCCCCATCCACCATCCATGAGAAAAAAGCTGATGCTCACAATTGCGTGCGGTGAAAAATGTTCACATCTATAATTTAAATGAATATAAATAACATTGCAATGGTGAATGTGATTCAGCAGCAAAACATATTCTTGCACAAACTAATCATGTTGCTGGACATGGATGATGATAATGCGGCTAACATTGACGAGGAGAATTTATTGGAGTGGATATCTGTTTTGAAAACACTGAAGTGTGGTCATTCCAGACCTCTTCTACTAAATCCAATCAATGTTTTAAATACAAATACATACTCTACGTTTTCTGAGAAGCAGTTTGGGACATTTTGGGAGAAAAATGTACCCGAAAACAACGAGGCGTTTTCTAAGGAAAGTTTTCTATAGTTCAAGCATTGTATACTTTGGGCTCTGAGTACAGAAGAGTCGGAAGGCTGTCAGCCAAAAGCGAGTGCAATATCCTGCATGAGTTTTGCAGAGCATAAAAAATTCCCAGAGGATTCCCGAGTTGTGTGCCTGAGACAATTCTGACATATCAGATGTTAATTTGTTTTTTTATATATTTTCCTGTCTGTCATTGTTTACGTTTTCGTAGTGAATTCCGATTTTTTGTTGTGAATGTCAAATATTTATGGTTGCATATGACAATTATCGAAAAAATACCGCACAGAAACGTGCGAATAAGGAACATCCCAGATGGATGGTGGCATAACTGGAAAGTTTTCGGAACGGCAAAACCTTACGGACCATCCCAGAAATGGATGGTGGATGGTCCCCAGTGTGAAAAGGCTATTATGAGAAAAGGATGCAGTAAAAGCGAGAGAAATAAATGCGTGAGCGGAAGTGGCCTTCCAGTTGAGCGGGGACTTAAGACTTTAAGATCCAATTTCGCTGGTTTTGTTTGAAAACATCAATTTGTACCAAACAGTGCCTCAGTTGTTCGACTGAAAGCGAGTAGACGTGTCTACAGACGGCTACGAACAACAACAAGAAAAAAAATTGGCTAAGTCTAATGTCATATAGCTATTACCCTTTGGCGTCCAGTTCGTGTTAAATTGTGGTAAATTGGTGATGGAATTTTTATCAAGTGGTCGCAAAAAACCATCGATTCCCAAAACAAGAATCGATGCTTACACTAGAACCAATAAATCGATTTTTTCCAAGCTTTAGCACCAGAGCTCGCAAGAAATGGCCCCTTTTTGCAAGCAGTCATAAAAGCCGGTTGTTAGCGGGCACGATTAAAAACGGAATCGAAACGACCCTTCTGCTTCGTTTTTTCGCTCTTTGCTCAACCAACAAGAGTGTCTTTTCGCTCTCCTTATGCATTCGTTCACTTGAGACACTTCGTTGAGCCGAAAGTGTCTTTTGCGAATGTATGTGTGTGTGTGTGTGTGTTGCGTCTGTGCCTCTCCCTTCTTCTTTCAAGCTTTGGCTGCGAAGAAATATAAAAAAAACAACAAAAACCTAATGCAACTATAACAAAAAGACACTTCGTACTTGCACTTGGCTCGTTTTGCTCAGTGACTGATGCTCTGTTGCTGAGCGCCGAACGAAAGTGTCTCGCTCAGACTGTTTTCGTACGAAAACACTTGTGCTTCGTTCGCCGCTCAGCATGAGCCCGAAAACACGAGAGCAACAAAAATACGTGTTCTGTTCAGAGACAGCATAATTCTGCATAATTATTCTCTGTCTTTTCCGCGAGCAGATTGCACACAACAAGTTGGTTGAGCATGTTTTTCGAGCTTTGTTTAGCACTATGCCCCGAAAGGTTTAAAAAAAAACTTTTAGAAGAAATTAATAGAAATATTCGGTAAAAAACATAGTTATTTGTTTCTAAGAAAATAACTTTGGTGCTTAAATACTCGTCTATTTTAGGTATTCGTGGAGGTAAAATTATTTTTTCATTAAACTATTATGATAAGGGTAGCATATCAAAAGTTCATGAAGCCGCCTGGAAGCAGTTTTTAATGGGTTAAATTATATTAAGAATGTATGTAAACAAAAAGTGTATATACCGTTCCATATATGTATAATATTTAATATATACAACCAAAAATCATTTGATATATTAAATTATTTATTTTTCAATGTTACTAAAATCATCGATGTTTGAGAAAAATCATCGATGTCTGAACATCAATCACATCGATGAATCTCCAGTTCTTTTTCGTGTTACTTTATCCACCGTTCCATAATAGATTCTAAAAATTGTCTCAGATACACAACTCTGTTTGTGGACTATCTTCTGGAATCCTCTCATTTATGAATGCTCTGCAAAACTCAAGCAGGATATTGCACACGCTATAGGCTGACAGCCTTCCGACTATTCTTCACTCAAAACAAAGAGCCCAAAGTATATGGCTGTACATAACTTAGCTTTAAAAAAGTCTAGTTGTTTTTGGGTACAACTTTCTCCCAAAATGTCCCAAACCGCTTCTCAACACACATATACTTTATATTTTTATTTAAAACATTGATTGGATTTAGTATAAGCAGTCACAAATGACCACAACCTTCCGGGCTTCAGTGTTTTCAAAACAGATATCCATTCTATTATCTCCTCCTCGTCAAAGCTATCCTCATCATCATCGTCCATGTCCAACAACATGATTAGCTTGTGCAAGAATATGTTTTGCTGCTGAATCACATTCACGACCATTGAAATGTTATTTATATTCATTTTAATTAAAGTAAACAAATTTTCACCGCACGCAATTGTGAGCAACAGCTGTTTCTCATGGATGGTGGATGATGGATGGTGTCAATGTGAATCGGTGTTTCACATCTTTCAAAAATTCCCACCGTTCCCCCAGGATGGACTCAGTGTGCAGAGAGTATAATTTATAGGCTGTTTACATTGGGACTGCGTCATGCTTCTTAGCGTCTTGGCGAAGACGCATTTTTTTTTACATAGGTTAAGCATGGGGCCCTAGTGGTGGCAAAAAGTTGCGTCGGTCTCTGATTCATTTGCGTCTATTCGATATATTCGATTGCTTTTGCGCTTAACTGCACATTTTTGCACTTTTCTGCCTATCAGCGCAACTATCACCTCTAAGAACAACAAAAACTTGTAGTTTAAAAATCAAATTTTGGCGGTAAAATGAATGGTTGTGCAAAAAGGTGAAAATATACATAAAATCATGAAATAAAATACTTGAAACTGATTGTATTATTATCATACGACATTTTTGTGATCCCCTGATGCCATTATGACACTGCTGGAGACGAACTTCGATGGTTTTCATAATTTTAAGAAGAACTCCCACAAGCTCTACAAATAAATGTCTGAAAATAATAAATAAATATAAGAATCAATTCTCTTTCGTCCATTTTCTTGTCGTCTTGCATAATTCTGTTGAATTCTCAAAATTTGTGTACTTTCCTTGTCATCAAGCACCCAAAACAAAATTCAAGACGCGCGTCTGCCAATGTAAACGCCTTTTCTGCTTCATTGCGTCTATTCCGATATCGATAGCAGACGCGCCCAGTGTAAAAAGGCTATTAATTAGCATAAGTAAAATTCTAGACAAATACATCGATAGTGTCAAGATTGTTACTTAAATTAATTAATTTAATGAGAGTTTCTATAATTCCTGCAGGAATATTTATAAAAAAAATCAATTTATGCAAAAGATTATGGAAAATCAATTATTGCTTTCCGAAACGAAGGCATTTAAATAGCTTGAAAGTAAAATTCGTTTGTGGTCAATACTTCCTTCGATAGTATTAAAAGTGCCATCGATTGTTTGACAGCATATTCGTAGTTCATATAAGTTATAAGATAAGAGCCAAATTCTGAAAATATAAAAAAACAGCAAGAAATGGAAGAATATGCCCGAGAACCATGTCCTTATAGAATTGTGGATGATTGCGGAGGTGCTTTCGCCATGGGATGTATAGGAGGTGGAGTCTTTCAGGCTATTAAGGGATTTCGTAATGCCCCTTCTGGTATGAGTAGAAGATTGGTAAGTTGAAGTAGATGAGAAGTTTGCAGTAGTAATGAAAGGCGTGTTCCGTTATTGGTATTCATATTTATGAAGTACCGTTCGATCACGTTGTTTTTACGTATAATTTGTATGCTCTGTACATATGTATGTAAGTACATTTTTATAAACTCACTGGAGCACGTACCAAAAGTACACATGCGATTGTGGCCAGGCATACAGATATACATACAGTACATACATATGTATATTTAATTTAGTTACCAATTTAATGTTTTATGTAAAGCATTTGCCTTTCCGAAGGTCAATTACGTAATTATTCGTAATAAGAAGCGCACGTGCTAGTGCTGATACATATGTAGATATAGTGATGGTCGCGACAAATTATATAGGTACATGTACCGTCTTTTATACCCGGTACCCAAAGAATACCACTTGTATAATAGATTTGTGTTATAAAAAAACGAGTACCAGGTAAAACTCACAACGATTCGAATGGTTTTATACTCTGGAGTAGAGATTCGTTGGCGCCTCGTATTTTATAACCGGCCCGGTCATATTTATCAAAGGACCGGCACGAAATTATGAAATGCATTCACAAATATATAAACATAGTACATATATAAAAAATACATGAATGACGAAATTTGTTGTGCTATCACAAAATGCTACTGTGTTGTTTCTGCGAACGCGTTCGGATCTTTAGGGCTCTAGGGGTTAGCAGGCTTTTGAGCCTAACGGGCTTTTAACTTACGCACGTCTTCGTGTCAAACTGGATTATGAGGCATGTACTCTGCAGTTTTTATGGAAAAGCCCGTGGGCCGGCTCGCGCCCATCTCGACTATGGAGTATGATTAGTATGAATTTGAACAAATGCTTGCAAACGAACACAGGGAAGTACATACAGCTGTGAAAAAAAATAATAGCACCACCACCACAAGCAATTTTTAAATAATTGCCAAACTCACATATTTAGCTTTAAAGAAAATTTTAAGAACATTTTTAGAAATGGGAGAGACTAACAAACCTGAGAATACAAAAAAAATCATATTTTTTTGTAACGTTTTTAACTTTTCAAAAATGAATTTAAAATTTAAAAAATAAACAATTTGTAACGAATTTATTAGTTAACCATTTTTAACTATTAATACTAAATCTATATGAATAATTTAATATTTAGTACAGTGTCCTGTATTGTCAATAACAGCTGCGCAGCGTCTTGGCATGGAATCAACTAAGTCCTGGCATCGTTTTAGGGAAATTTTGGACCAGGACTCCTTAATTTCTTCCCAAAGTGATCGGATAGTGGTTGGCTTGGAAGCAGCAACTGCCTTCTTGACGTCGGACCACAGATTTTCGATTGGATTAAGGTCAGGCGACTGTGCAGGCCACTCCAAAACGTTCACAGAGTTTGCCCTGAACCATTCCTTTGCTTTCTTGCTGGTGTGTTTGGGGTCATTGTCCTGTTGAAAGACCATACGAGCGGCACTTCATATTCTGCAAAGGGTAGCATTACTGTCTCCATGATATTCACGTACATGTGCTGATCCATGATGGGTTTTGTCCAATGTATTGGACCTACTCCATAGTAGGAGAAGCAGGCCCATACCATTACACTACACCCTCCATGCTTAATAGTTTTTGTGGTGTACTGAGGTTTGTATTCAGTATTATTTGGACGTCTAACGTATGATCGAGATCCCTTTCCACCAAACATAACCACTTTGGACTCATTTGACCACAAAATATTTCTCCAATTTTGGGATGTCCAATTTGCATGATCCCTGGCAAACTTCATGCGCTTAATTATATGTGTCGCATTTAAAAGTGGTACCTTTCTTGGGCTGCAGGCTTTAAGGTTATGTTTCCTAAGATATCTGCGAACTGTTTAGTCCGTCGCATTTATTTTAAGCTCTTTTTTGAGCTCAGCAGGCTTGAAGGGATCCCTCTTGCTCTGACGAATCAATCTTTTGACATGAAGAGGTGTCATAGATCGTTTTCGCCCGCGTGTTTCAGTCTTTTCTTCATAGTTTAAGAGGTTTTTAATCATTTTATTTGAGCATCCTACCAATCGACCAACTTCTCTGTAAGTTTTTCCATCCAATAACAATTTTTAGATAAGATCGCGCTTCTCCGCAGTGCATTGCTTTCCACGTCCTATTGTAATTATTACTTTTAACTTTTATGATAGAAACAATGAGTTCTTAGTGAAAACTAATGAGCAGGTGCATTCTGCAAAGGCGATTCCGCGAAATACAGGTGATTCACTATAAAAATGGCTAATGGTGCTATTTTTTTTTTCGCTATTTTCCGGGTTTTTGTTTTTAAATCCCAAAAAAAATATATAGACACAAATTTAAAGAGCGGTAGCGCTGTTTTTGTTTATGGGGAATACCAAGCAATATACAAAAAATTTAAATTTAAAAAAATCGCAAGAGTAAGCGCATTTTTTTTGTATCAAGAACAAAATGTATTGTATTGGTGCTATTATTTTTTTTGCATCTGTATATGGGCAGTTCCGCCAAAAGGTCCACCAGGCCAAATATCATAAAAAGTCAATAAAAACCGATTTCCATATAATTTTTTCCGGATATTTTTTTCTAAATTTATTGAAAGGTTTAATTTAATTTAAACCTTCAATTTAATTTACTTTATTGACATATAATTTCATTAACTTTCATCCTAAAACCTATGAAAATAAGCAAAAGTTCACGTTTTTGGCATTTTCTGGTATTTTTATAGACATGTTTTCTTTTACTATTATCTTCTAGGAAGAAGATGATTCTTAATAAAAGACTCCTCAAAGTCTTTCTAACATACATATTAAACTACCTAAAACCATTATCAGAACGTTGGTCCAACCTCGGCTAACAGTATATTTTTAGGCTTTTATAATCGCGGAATTTGGTAACGTCACGCCAGTAACGTTCGACAGATGCCTCCGCGGATTTTTAACAAAAAAAGAGGAAAAGTTTTTACATTTAATAAGTTTGATAATTAACTCTCAATACTTCATTTATTACCACAAAAAATGTTATACAAATAGCCCTATCCAATTCGCAGAGTTTTGCCATTTTGTACCCCAACCTCGAAAACCACTTCTGTTTTATGTAACGCACTTTTAGGTCATACTTTGGCTTATATCTTTAAAACCGTACGCTCGATTATTTCCACTTTGCTGGTGAATGTAGGTCTAACCAAATTATATTCAACGAGGATAATATTTTTTCCAAATTTCAGCTTTTTGACTATTTTTTCCAACATTTTGTCGTACGAATGTAACGTAACGCCAGATAGGAACTGCCCATATCCAGCCCCAAAAATTATATATTTATGTCCTTAATGACGAGCTGAGAATCTGTTTTGAAGCTATTGTACTATCTGTACAAACTCGTTTTTTAGCAGAAAGTAATATATATATGAGCATTACCATTCTGGCGTTACGAGACAATCGTACTACATAGTACACGAAGTCAACATCGGTAAAGTTTTCACAGGAATATGTTTTACAAAGTATACATAGTTTAAGCGAATAGTCTTTGGCATATCTCTTTTAATTTCTTATGTTAAAATACACAAGTAAAATAAACAGTCATGGCTAGAAGGTCTCTTTCCACCCGTTGGGCTAAAGGAGCCGGTCACTGTCCATTCAACCAAAATTCAGCTGCCCTCTACTAAATCACACAGAATCCATCTAAATTATTTTCTTTACGCTAGCCTTCATAAATGCTACAAGTACACTCAAGGTTGAATGCAGTGGCATAGCTTCGTAGTGGTAAGACGGTACTGTGCACCGTGGCCCTCGAGCTTAGGGCTTAAAAGCTTAATATTTCCCAGGCGCTAAGCTGAAACCAAACAAAATTTCTGCCACAGAAAAATACCATAATTCTTAACAAAAATTTAAAGGCTTAAAGCGTAAATAAAAAGTTAAATTTTATCGAGTAGTGTAATTTGTGAAGAGTAGGCAAGAAAAAGATTGTAATTTTGTTAAATGGACAATAAAGTTTTTTGATTATGTCTGAAATGTGCGACTTCTAATTTAAATGTATGAGAAATAATGAAGATGTAAAAATTGTTTGTTCGTAGTGATCAGACGTGTTTTTGTTTTGCGCTCCGCATTTTCCATTTATTTTACTTATACAGCCGGTGTTTTATCTTCAAAATAACTCTATAACTAACTTACCTTAAAATCAATCTTTACCACGGGTGCATGCCTAATAATTGTGTTAAAACACAACTTATTTAATTAATTTTGTGCGTCGGTTATTCGTGTGTTTGTGTTGTTGCTTTTCGTAAGTACGCCCTCTCGTTACATTTAGCCGCTCTTTGTCGCCTATCACTCTCTCTATTATCTAATTCTAAATAACTGGTATTTCTCTATCGCTCACGTATCTTTCTGTGCAGTAACGCTCTCACTTATAAGCTGTTGCTGTAAGCACTCTCCTCTCTCATCTCAGTTTTTCCGAATTCGCTTTAAGCATTTTCTCTGCACATTCGTCTGATTGCTGTTTGTTTTGAATTTTTTTCTAAAAAAAAAAATGGGTTTTGCTGTCGTCTGTGCCAAAAAAAAACTTGCAAGAATCAGATCACACCCAATATCCCTTGCTGGTGCACGCAAAATGTGTAGGGATCTCGGGTCGTGTAGGAGATGCTATTTCCTAAAACAACGGCCTGCATTATGGTTCTGAGGAATGCCGTGCTGTGGAAAACGACATGCCTGCAATATGATCGGCGCTTGGCCATGGACACTCAGTTCAGCAGTTTACAAGTGCTGGCTGAGTCTCCGTGGCGCAAGAAGTCTACTCCGCGGGACTTGCAAGTGCCGACTTCCTCATGTCCTCCGGCAGCCGAAAAACTTAATCCGACCACTCAGTGCTTCAGTGCAGCAGTTGATTACATTTGCTATTCCAAGGGCAACGATCGCTGCTGGTGATGCAGATTCGGGAACCGAAAGCGTCACTTCGGAGAGTATGCAGTAAAAAATGTCTGTAGCGTCCGTGTCCGTCGAGTCCGCACCCAAC